GCGCTTGCAGTTCCAGTGTCAAGCAAGATCCCCCGGGACAGGGCGGGCGGCATTGAGGGGGACTCCTTGGGGGCCCATTGGCACCCAGCAACCGAGAACCCCTTTGCGGGGACGAGTTGAAGTTGGTTTCCATCCATTGGACTCGGTCGCTGATGACGGGATTGAAGCCAATGCCAATGCCACCGCCAGTCATCTTATCTCCAATCCTCTCTCAGTCTTACAAACCTCTCAACTTCCCTGCCATCTTAACAACAGCAATAAGGACCCTCTCTCTTCCCAAGTAACAAAAACCCTCCGTCGGAAAACCTCCATCGCTTAAAAGAAAACACAGCCACGCCGTCCCTCCACGCAGTGGCTCAGACCTCTCTTTTCCGGTTTGTTCTGTTCTTTCAACCACTCCCTGGCCTCCCAGAAATAAGCATCGTTCCTTCTTCCTCTAGTACCTTACTCAAAGTGAAAAGAGCCCTGCATGCAACGCATGGCATACTTCAGTACCTTGCATCAGAGAGATAGAGCAGCACAGCATAGCAACGTATCATCGCAGGATGTAGCACGTCTCGTGACACAGCCCATCATCATCATCATCATCAACAACTCCAAATCCGAACCAAGCCTCTGCCTTCTTCCTCAAGCGTCCCGCCGCCGCCCCCGTCCATCGCCAAGCCCACCACCCCAGCTTCCAGAACAATTTTTATACACCCAACCCTTGGCGCCTACGCCTTACCTTGCACAAGTTGCACGGCCATTTACGAACCCGCGCACCGCGCGAAACGGAAACCCGGAAACCTCCTAAGAAAACGGCGCTTAACCCACAACGGGCACAATCGGTGTCCTGACGGTAAGCCGAAGGCGAAGCGACAACAAACCTTCCTCGGTGCTTCCACTGTGGCTTTCACGCCGGCCGCCGCCCCGTTTCCCACGGCGTTCCTGACCCTACGTCACAGCCCAAGCGGCCTCTCTTCGTAGCACGAATTGCGCATTCCCAATTCTTCCACTGCCGCCGCCGTCGTCTTCCAGGCCCAAAGTAACTTAGCGCCGCTTCACAACTTAATCCCTTTTGAGACCGTTATCCCAAATCTAGGACTTCAAGGACGAAAAAAAAAACTTTCTCTCGGCATTTTTGCCGTTTCGTCCATGCTCGGATAAACATTGTGTTTCTCCATAGCCCTGCCTCGCGCGCGACTGTCTCGTCTCGCAAGCTCCTGAGACCGCGGCCGAGCACCTCACCTTCACTCTCCAAAAGAGATCTTCAGGGCCTGCACATTCCTAAGGGAGCTACTGTCCCTGTCCTACCAGCAAGCTCAAGTCCTTGCCTCAATCTCTGCGCAATTCGCCGCCCGATGTCGCGGCTGTCTCGAGCTCACATGTCTGTCTATGTAAAGCCTTGGGAACAGACAGCCGTAGCTTTGCTGCCCTAGGACTGAACCTCTGCAAATCCCCTCCCAGCCCAGAGCCCAGCGCAGCCGATCGACGGCATCGGTGACGCGGAGTTTGGTGGAGAACGTGCGGTCTGGACCGAGATAAGGGCCCTGAGATACGTCATGTTTTTCTGTAGGGGGCTGATGATCCCACATCCCGCCCGTCGAGTAGCTACAGATGTTGAGAAACGAACGTCTTTTGCTAGGTCAATCGGATGCGTCGTTTAGTCAGTTGTTTCACCATGCCACGAATCGTTGAGGCCTTTTGCGAATGATCTTCGTAAGCCTTGCGTCGTCTAAAAGTCAGGATGAACATCGGAACTGGTAAGGATCGAAAGGATTGATTCGTGATTGAAAAGCTGCATGTGCAAGCATCATCATATGTACAAGCTCCTCCACCTTTTGATCGAATGCCTACTCAAAGGAAAAAATGATAACCAAAAACGAAAAGGCAAAAACAATAATCCCGCGCCTCCTTTTTGCCTGTCCAAAACCCGCGGGACAAAGAGAGCAAACCCGCCAGACCGGCCTGAACCCCGGCCTTGACCATCATGGTCTCGTGGTACTGGTCTGTTGGACCATAGTTAGAACAATAGGAAATAAAATCAGTGACATATTCAACATCGAAGGCCGTTAGGCGGGGCCCTGCGAGCGAGTCTTGCGCGCGGTACGGCCGACAGGCGGCAGGACCTTTTTGACCTTCTCGGAAATCTTGTGTCCCAGAGACTCCTTGTCCTTCTTCGGGGATTCCTTCTTGGCTGCGCCGTTGGTGGCCTTCGGAGGCCGGCCGGGTTTCCCGGTCTTGACCTTCTTCTCGGCCGGCTTCTCCTCAGGCTCCGGCTTCGCTTCCGCCACGCCGTTGGTGCCGTTGGCGGCGTCGGTGGCATCAACGGCATCGAGATCATCCGCCTTGCGCTTGTTACTGGGCTTGGCCTGCGGTGCCGCCTCGCGCTCTCCAGAACCGGAGGGCTCGGCCTCGTTAAGGGCGCCCGTCATCTCTACGTCCTTGGAGGCCGCGCCGTTAACGGCAGCAGGCTTCTCGATGACGGGCTCCTTGGCCGGCTCGTCCTCGACTACGGGTTCCTCAGCGGGCTTTTGCGCGATAGGCTCCTCGACTGATTCCTTGACAGTCTCGGTGGCTGGCGCAGACGTAGCAGCTGGAGCTGGAGCTGCGGTCGCTGGCTGCTCTGTAGGAATGGCCTTGGGAGCCTCCACGCCGGTCGTCGCAGCCGGACCATCTTTGTCGGGAACCTCCTCGACAGTGGCCGGCTTTGGCGCATCGGCGGCAGAAGCATTTGCGACCGGAGCATCAGCTGGCGGGGCGAGCGCAGGAGGCTCTGCGACCTTGGCCGGCTCCTCGGCAGGAACGGCTGGTGTTTCTGTGACAGGCGCGGGTTCCTCCTTTTTCTCTTCAGCAGGCTTCTCTTCGACCGGCTTGACTTCTGCCGGCTTCTCCTCGACAGACTTCTCCACGATCTCCGGCACAGAAACTGCCTCTGTGCCGTTGGGCTTTGTCTCGGCTGCGGTGCGAGGAGCATAATGTCAGCGCATCGGTCTTCGGACATTATGGGTGTACAGCGACGGCGAGCGGCATGGCAGGCGCAAGAGTAGCATCGAGCCAGCGCAAAGCGCAGCTATTCGGCGGACTCTATCGATTGCATGCGACCGTGATATGAGGCTTGATTTGGCGACAAACACTCACCTTTGTCGACGCCAGCGACAGCTGGGACAGCTCCGGGGGCAGGATTGGGATCCATTGCGATGACGTAAGGGGGTTTGCTGGTATGGGCGCACAGTGCGCGATGACGGTGGTCGCAGTCGGCGAGGAAAAGGTGCTCAATGGCCGCGGTTGGGCGTAAAAGGGCGTTATTTTGGTACGGATGAGATGTTGGGATGTTGATTGACGATGGAAAGCTGGAAATCGAAGATGGGAGTTGTGTGGGAGAGGATGGGAGAGAAGAGGGAAGGAGAAGTGAGGTTGGAGTCGGAGCAGAGGCAGGAGCAGGAGCAAGAGCAATGGAGCTCTCCTCCTCCCCAACAACAGATGGGCCTGCTAAGGCGCTGCAGATGCAAAGCAGAGCACCGGCAGCGGTGGCAGCAGGTCATCGCACAGAAACATGGGGTTGGGGAGCAGGACCCGGGGCCTTGCTTGGGTTCCACGGGGCGAATCAGCAGCGGGAGAGCGAGGACGAGGGCGAGGGCGAGGCAAGGGCGCGCGCCGTTCGGGACACGCCATTCCCATCGGCTGTTTGTGCGTTAATGGTGAGGTGGTGCAGTGCAGCGGGTGCAGCTGGGCTCGCTCGGTCCAGCAAGCAGTCCCATCCAGTGCTTCCGTCCCTCCTCTTTCTCCGCGCTGCTGACCATTACTCAGTAGCGGACCAGGCCATCTAACAGGGAGCGGTCCTCGATCAGTGAGAGTGAAGCTGTGAGGTTGCAGGCGAGAGGCCGGCAGTGCAAGGTTCCCCTCGCGGCAGGCTGGGTGGAGAGGGACCTCTCAGCTGCTGGGCCGTCATGTCAATCTGACGTGACGAGAGCTCCACGCAGCTTGCCATCTTGGTTGTTGCAGGGCGGAAGCTTGGTCCGGTTAAGAGCCGGTTAATCCCAAGAAGCGTTAGGAGGTGGCGCGACGGGAGACCTGAGCTGGCACAGCTGCACTGCTTGGCTGAGATGCCGACCAAAGCCGTTCGACGACGTTAAGCAGATGGCCCAATCCGGTGAGCCGTTTCCTCGAAGTTTGAGGGAAATAGGCGAGCAACCTCATGTAACAATGGCACAGAGCCCTGTTGTCGGTGGCAGGAGCACTGAACACGGGCGGGCAACGGTGTAGCAGGTCCGTCTCAACCTTGGTGCGGTGCCTCCCAAATCTGGTGTCCAGTCCAGCCAGTCGCCCTCTCCTCGCGCAAAACGAAGACAGGACCGTGTACGTCCCTCAGAGAGGCACTGTACAAGGAGGAGCTTCCTCCGGTGCTCTTTCCTGCGGGAGCTGGGCAGGGCAATTGGAAAGTGGCAGGGCCAGCTGCAGAGTGTCGCAGCTCCGATGCGGGGAAACACTTGCGAATGGCTGGCTTCGATTGGCGATTCTCCACTCGTCCTCATTTAAGCCAATCAAAAACTACCAAAGCTTTCGAACCACGTCCAAGCTCCTGCACGCCATCTGCGATCTGCTGAGCTGCAGAAGCGTGCATCCGACGCCCAACACCCAACACCCACGATGGCGATGTTGTCGGTGGCCTCACCTTCAAATGGAATATCTCTCAACCTAATCAATGATACCGCCAGATTAATTTTGATGCAATGAGTCTGTTCCTGATTCGGTTCTTTTCAATTGCCTACGAAAGGTTGCGACTTTCACCTCATCTTTCACGGAAGGTTCTGGCGATTAAAGATCCATTTGTTTTATTTGTCTGCGTTCAGTCCTCGTAGTCCATTATCTCTCGTCATTATCTCATGGTCTTGATGCCTTTTCCTATTGTTCTCGTTCCCGTCGTCTTCATTCCTCGTTCTTGCAGCTATCCATCGTCCTCATGGGCGTCCCTCATACCTATTGTCGATTCTCACCCTGCTCGTTCTTGTCTCAATCGTCTAATCCTCCGCCTCCGGCTCTGACTCGTCATCGACGAGCATGCGCTGCGTCTTGATCTTCATGGCTGCACTTCTCTGGGCAGGGTTGCTCCACATGGCATTAAGAACGTACTGCTTGCTGATCTCCATAAGAAAGTCGGGATGGTTTTGCATATCCGAGCAGCGCTTGAAGTACATGGATACGTTGACAAAAAGACAGAAACTTTTGACCAAAGCCCGACGAATTTTGGCTTGGACAATGTGACCTGGCTCGAGAAGATCGAAACTTCTTCCATAAATCGAGAACATCGCGGGAGCTTCCGTTTCGTCGTCGAGGTCTTCTGGAAGATTGAGATAGTCAAGTATCATCTTCTGAACACTCGTTGCAAGCTCATGATTCTGGAGGTAGTCGCAAAGCTGGTAAAATTGTATATGGCTCGAAATCCCAGTCGGCAACTTGAAGTCGTTAGGCTCTACAAGAGGTTTCTTGTTCTCTGAGTTGGGGTTGATGAGCGCTTGCCGTGTGGCAAGGGTGAGATACAGCATCATGATGCTGGGGCGGACTTCAGGAAACTCGATGGTCAAAGATTCTGACTCTTTGCACGGGTTTCGAAGGCATTTGTCGAAAAACTTGGAGTGCTTGATCAAGATTGGCTTGAGAATGGTGAACGTCCGGGTCTGGCCAACTTTTCCACACTTGATCATAACCATTGGCTTCTCCTCCCTTTCGAACATGATCAGTTCTCCACGATTCCTCGAATAAATAAGTATGGACTCACTCCGAACAAAACAGCCAACACATATCCATTGCCGCTGAACCGAAAGGCGCTGGGCTATCGTCCCCGAAGGCGACGCTGTTCGCGTTCGGCTCCATCGTTATTAGGCGTCGGTCTGATGTCGTGGAACGGCGTCGCGGGTCGTCGTTGTTAGTTGGCAGCTTCGGAATGCAGAGGCCGGGGCGCAACCTGCGAGTGCGCGGAATGGATGCGTGGGAAGAAAAAAGAGCAGATGAGATTTTAGGCGAAAATTTTGAACCAGGCTGCTGTTGGACTTGCCATATGTGGAAAGCTCGCACCTGCCCGTTTCTGTTGCCCAAAAGTTTTCTTTGATGTGGGTAAAAGACAACGAAAACGCTGACCGACGTCTTTCCTCCCGCTTTCAGCGCGACCTTGATCAATGTCGAAGTGCGAACAGGAGACAAAGAAGGATTCGAAACCTCCGCTGGAAGTAAGTCCAGGTCCCCGTCTTCAAGTTCGTGAGTCTCGAAGGAGGTGCCAGCGAGATCTCCGCGACCGCGCTCCCCACTCCCAAGATTCTCACTATGAGCATCACTCTTCCCGTCCCCAATAATGCCCGACTCGTCAGTCTCAAAGTCGGTGTCTGCAGTGTGGCTCAGATTGTCAATGCTGCTCGTCCATGACTGAAGATGCCTTACTCTAACGACCGTTGCGAAGGGCTTCCCCCGCCAGAACTCCCCCCACATATATGTCCACGGCAGACCTGACCTCACCAAGTTGTTGAGCCTGCCTGGCCTCAGCAAGGCGCTGAGCCTCCCTGATTTCTGCCAACCCGTTCTCAGCGCGCCAAAAGAATGCAAGGGACTCCTCCACTAGATTCTCCTCCCAATCGTCCCATTCGTCATCCCTGATGTTCCGCACGAACGACTGAACAATGGCGCTGGCCTGAATGTCCCATCTCATGTCGACGCAAAGCTGGTACGCCGCCCCGAAGTTGTCAAGGACGCACCACTCCGGGTTCTTCAGCCTGTCGTGGTCAACAGGGTGGCGGTAGTAGTGGCGCCAGTTGGTGAGGATGTCGCCGATGTGCTGCTCCACGTAGCGCCTGAGCAGGTAGTTTCCGAATTGGCCACAGATATCCCACAGGTGCAGCTTCTGTGCCAGGGTAGTTTTCATCTCCCACGAGTCCGGAAGGACGCTGCTGAAAGGAGTGATGTGCTCCGGGTCGGGGAAGAAGACCAAGCGCTCGTTGAAATAGAGGTAGGCGCCGACGGTCTCCGGGGTCTGGTCGCCGATGACATACACGGCCCCGGGGCGCTGAAAGTGTGTTGAGTACTTTCTCATCGTGCTGAAGCTAATGCAGAAATACTTCTCTTGGCACTGGATATACACGAGGCTCTCATTGGGGTCAGCCGGGCTAATGAGATAGTTGTCGGTGTAGTTGGGCAAAGATTCCCGAGACCAATTCTGAGGACCGTTCATGTTGGCGTTGTTGGATGAATGAGATGGTACGTGTCTGCAAATGGATGAACTAATTCATGCACCGAGAAGAATGATTTCGAACAAAGACCAAACCTGATGCGAAAGCGCAGAGGCATCTATATATCTTGAAGTACGGCATCGGAGATGCGTCTTACACCAATACCTCTTGAACCTCCAACGCATGAATGAGCTCTGAGCGTTCCATGGGTCGCTCAATTTCTTTCCCAAACACAGAAAAGTCCTTCGGAGATTGACACAGAACTACAGCAAATCCATTCTAGGCAGGAAGTTTACTCTAAACGGTTGAGAAAAGCTTGCGCTTTTGTCCTCGATGTTTCTCCGCGAGGGATTGCTGTTCAGCTTGACCCTGACCTGCCACTCATTGTGATCTCTCGACGCTATCAAGGTGGCGCTGTTACCTTGACAGCACGGCTCTCTTTCATTTGAAATGAAATAAGTACGCTCTCAATGAGGTAGTTGCGAAAAGATACAAGCTCTGCAAGACTGAACAGAGACATATGAACTTGAAATTCGTCCAAATATGAAGAGCAGAAGTTCACGGATGCTGACTGATGATCCAGTGTGGCAACACATAATGTCGTGTTTCGACTTCACCCTGAAAGCTGTATACACCTCGAGTGTTTCCCATATTCTGCCTGGGCTATTATCTACCTAGACCGTCAAGGTGACATTGTGAATCAAACGGGTTGTCCATGATCTTGCAGAAGGCCAGAAGCCTGCCGATCCTCCGGCGACTTTGTGCCTGACTCCGTGTCTTCTGGATATCAGTAATCCCTGTCTTCTTCTAACTCTGCCACCTGGTCCTCCAGGTCGCCGACTCGCTTGCGCCAATCTTGAACATTGCGCTCCAACGTCATAATCTTCTGATGATAGTCTTGAGCTCTCGTCTTCGCATCGCGAAGCTGGTTTTCCGTATCGAAGGCATGGGCGGACAGGGCCTTCCAAAGCTCGCGAATGAACGCCGGGCTGAGATCGGCCAAGCCAAGAACAGAATGGAGATGCTCGGACGGAAAGTCGAGAATGAATTGCTTGACCACCTGGCCCCGAAGCTTCACCTGACTGTCGGCATGCTCGTCGAATGCCTCGAAAGCAGCTTTGACGTTGTTAACCCACCATTCTCGGTCGTTTTGATTCGAATATTCCCGATCGTATCCAAGCTTTGCGATTTGGGCTCCGAGCGCGGTGCAAAGGGCCTTGGACTGGAATCGATCGGAGACCTGCCATACTTTGACAAGGAAGACGAGTTTCTTGTGCTCGCCCAGGGCCTCGATCCGCTCCTTGAGCAGACTCTCGCTGACGGATCTGCAGTAGACGAATTGAAGGTACGCATCCAGATGCTCGGGTTCGATGTCGTTGAATGTTATGGTGTTGGCCTCGCACTCGGCGGCGGTGGCATCTTTCAGGCCGGCGGCGAAGAATTCGGAGTGCTGCGTGAGTATGGCTTTGTTGAAGACAAAGGTCTTGTCGCCACACTGGAGCGTCACCGAGGTTTGGGGCTCGCTGCAGTCGGCGATTAATAAAGCTTGTCTATTTGAATCAAGAAAAAGAAACTTACGGCTTGAGAAAGACCAATCCGAGGTTGGTGTCTTGCTGATTTTGGTTGGCCATATTCACGGCGTTGCACGCTGGTTGGCAGTTGGGGTGTGAATTGGAAAAGTGTGGTCACACAAACCACCTCTTCTGGGCAAGATGGAGGATGTGGAGGATAAACTTGCTTATGAGAAAATGCAATGCAAAAAAAGCTGGTTCTCCTGTACGCCTTTCCTTTGCGCTGCAGTGAGATTTGCTGAACCCTGATAGAATTTCACAATCGTCGTCTGTTTTTATTTCACATTCCATCCCCAGTTGGCTCCATCATCTAAGTAGTTACCTTAGCGTCCTTGCTATGTCCCCACTTTTCCTCACCTAGGTGCCGTCTGTGTTCTCCCCAGCGCTAGCGCTGCTGCCTGAAAGAAACACCCATGGGTGTTGTTAAAGAACAAGGCCTTCTTGCTGAGACGTGGTGCTTTGAGAGTCAGCAGAGAAAGCTGTCGGGAGAACGTTTTACTTCAAAAATAGCATAGAGAAATTCGACCAGGGTTCCTGCTGCGTTTGGAAATTTTCACCCCGGGTTTCCGCAATAAAACGGTCGCAAAGATCACTAATGGTTGCGATTGCTCGCTGCAAATGACGAGGCGTCCAGAGGTTGCAGTGGAAGAGAGAAGAAAACGAAACGTGGGTAGCACGAAGACTGACGCGTTGAAGACGGAAAAAGTCGATGCCACGGCGAAAGGTTTTGCCTGTTCACAAACAAAAGCACAAAGGGAAGGAATCAGAAGGATTTGGATGCTTTTGGTTTTATTTCTGCGCTAGAGGAAGAAATTATCGTCGTGATGGACATCCACTGTCTTCCAGTCCGTCTTCAGATGCCTCCTTGCTTTTCGCATCTCGTTCAACCTTCATTCTGCCTCTCCATTATCTTCGCACCGTGTCTCCGGCCTCATGTCAACCGTTTCTGTTTGATCCCAAGCTGCTGTCCGAATTAAACACCGTCGAATGTCCCAATCGCCACAGAACCGCAGCCGGGGAAATCCCAAGTGGCAAGAAACTTGGGGAAAGCCGACTAAGAGTCAGAGGACCAAGGGTCCCGGCTCCCAGAGTTCCAGCTTCCAGGGTTCCAGCCCCAAGCATCGCCAGAATGAGTAGAGGCCGTGGCGGAAGTGTTATCGATGCACTCAGTAGAGTGAGAGCCCCAGCTAAGTGGAGAAGATTCGATCAGCGGAAAGGGCCTCCACTGCGTCCAATCACCCGTGTCCAAGAGTCCGTTGCCCCCTTCCCAGGCTTTGGGCCAAATCCAGCGGGGGAATGGTCTGTTGCATGGAGAAGGCGATTCTGACGTTTGATCTGTCAGGAGTTTAGCAAAACAGATCGTGAGCTCGCGGACGAACTCTGGAGCATCCTCCAACGCAGCAAGGTCGTGCCTGAAGTTTTCAAGAGGAACCCAATGACAGTAGGCGGCAACCAGCTTCTCTCGCACGTAGTCCCGATCGTCGTCTCCGTAGTTAAGGGCTTCGAATGCTTCCTTGTAGTTCTTCATGGTCCAAGATCGTTCCTGATCAGTCATGTTGCGTGGGAATTTGTTGATGGGATGCTCCTCAGCCATTTCAAGGATCGAGAAGCCAACGAGTCCGGTCATCTTTGGATTCATGAAGCGGTCGGCAATCTCGTATAGGTCGACCATAGGCTTCAGGCGCTTTGGCTCCTTCATCAGGCCGGGGTCAAACTTCACAGAGTTCTTGATGGCCAGCATGAATGCGAGATGGAGGTAGATACCGAGGAGGTCGGGGTCGATGTCGTCGAACTCGACAGTCAAAGTCTTGCCCTCAACAAAGTTCTCGTTCTTGAAGCAGGTGGCGAAGTACTCGGAGTCTTTGATGAGGATGCTCTTCTTGAAGATGAAGGTCTTTCCTCCGGCTTTGAGAGTGACACAGTCCTCTTGCTCGCTGCGAGGGCGTTAGTAAGGCAGAGTAAGGCAGAATTTTGGGTGTACTAACGGCGCCAGGAACAATGACGCGATGCTCATCTTGTCGGCAAGCTTCGTCATTTGACAATCTTGGGTGTCACCTTCGTCCTTGGCCGCAATTTTCTCGTTCTGGTTGCTGCTGGATTCGTCCATGTTTGCTGGTGATTGGGTGTTGTGGGAAAAATGGACGCAGCGAAGTGTGAGGTGAAGGTCAAAGTAAGAGTGGGGCAGGCAACAGTTCAGCCCGTGGACAAGAAATTGAGAAGTCATGTGAAGAAAAAAGGAAAGGGCGGGAGAAATCCGAAGCTGCCTGATTTACATGGGCCCTGTATTAAAGACCAAAGGCTGAATTTGGCAACCGAAGCTGGAAACAAAGTTGAAGAAAGGAAAGTAGCGCCTTAGCTCTCAACGCTAGGACAAGACATGATCAGAGGAGGCACAGGAAATGCAGTGTTAGTGAGCGAAGAAATGAATGTGATCTATTAGTCAGTTGAAGCCTCAAGCTGACAGTTTTGTATGTTTGGCTGCTTTTCCAACCAGCCGGCAGCGGGCCAAAAAGAGCAAGTCACTTATATGAATTTGGCTTGGGGAAATACCTAGAGGTAGTCGTGCTAGGACTCTACAAGAATTCAGATCAAAGTCGTAAGGGAGGTCCAGATCAAGATGGTATGAATGATGGAATTCAGCATGTCGTTTTCATTCAGCAAAGATGTTGTATGTACAGGTGCCATTGGCCAGCTGATCCATTCCATGCCATGCCATCCCTCGTTCGGCGTTCCTAAAGGACCGAAAGACCTATTTTGCAATGCCGAACCCTGCCAATTGCAGGGCCTTTTTTTATGACCTCCACCACAGACTGTATTTTCTATTTCTTTTCCGCAACCATATCAATGTAGAAGAGAGCTACCTCAAAGGCAAACTCAGGGTGGCTCTTGATGCGCTTGAAGCAATACCCGAGCCAGTCGCGAGGAAAAGTATGACAGAAGGCGTAAACAACACGCTCGCGCAGTTCACTTCCACACCCGAGGTCCGAGCTAAGCAGATTGAAACACTGCGCGAGGCTCTCGATGTAGAAGCGCAGGTGATGAAGCTCATCACAGGTGGACAGGTCAGCTGCGCCGTTCGAGTCATCGTCATCGCTCCGGTCTTCGGCTCTCGGGCTCCCTTCCATGCTCAATCTGTTGTAAAGGAGCCAGCCGTTGAGATTTTGGTAGACTTCCTCGGCAAGCTCTTCGTTGGCGAAACGATCGCAAAGTCTGTAGATCTCGACGAGGCCAGGGAACCAGCAGCAACTCCTTGGCTCTCCGAGGCGAGGAACGTCTGAGGAATGGTCAAGAGCTTGGGAATAGGCGATATACAAGTAGATACCGAGATGGACTGCCTGTACATCATCGAAAATGAAGGTTTTGGTTTGCGACTCGAGGAAGTTCGGGTTTTTGAGACACCTCTTAAAGTAATCGGAGTGCATGACGAGAATGCTCTCGCGGACGGAGAACTTCTTGTCTTCAGCGATGAGGAAGACTTGGCCGGCTCCAGGGCTGGCGTCGGAGGTCCTGAAAACGATGCGTTAGTTTTGGGAGCTATGAATGACTGATCGGAAGCAGCCTACTCAACAAGGAAGGTCCATGCTTTGGCACACTTGATGTTGAAGTAGTTCATGGCTGTGGCCCCGCTCTCGACGTCGACGATTTTGTCGGACGAGCCGGAAGATTCGCGGTCGGAATCGTCGTCAGGAAGAGGTCTTTTATTAGCTGCCTTCTCGGCATCTGATCCCTCGGTGACTGTCATCTTGAGAGTTTTGAGGCGTTTCTTGGCGGGTCTTTCCCCCAGCATGGGACGCAACATGGCCAGGAATTGTTGCGAGTGGCGGGGATACTTATTTGTGAGAAGTGAGAGAATAGCCCTTTTCAGAGCGAGGTGAGATAAGAGATTGCACCGCTAATTGACGTACCGACCTGAAAGGCAGAGAAGTTAAGCGAAAGCGACTGAGTGCAACGCGTAAGGCGAGTATGGGTATTTGGGAAGGAGCATGGAGAAAATTGCCCTCGGATCGCTCCTGCCTCTTGCCTCCACTTAAGGAGTAGGATTCCATCCATCGCAGTCTTCGACAAATTTGAGTCTACCATGATGTTACCTGTAGTCTGAGATATTCTCTGCAGGCTATGATGTTCTTTTCAGTCGCGACTCCCACGATCAGCAAGATCACCTCGTCTCCCCATTTAAGCACACGGCAGCGGAACCATTCAAGTGGTTGAAGTCGGACATTTAGGAGGCAGACCCTACTCATAAACGGCCAGGTTCAAGGAACTGCCTTTACGATACAAATTTCCAAAACTTTCAGACTAAATCTCAGAGAAGTTTACGCGCAAAATTCTCCGAACGATCACTATTGAAGTTGTCGTTAGGATAAGGTTCAACGGCCAATCCGTCCCGCCGCGCCACCACTCGTCCCATGTCGATGGTGTTAATGCCACGGAGTTCAGACGATATCTGAAGTGGACAGACAGAAGTTCTAATGAATTGAGCCCATGATGAGTTCAATCGATTGCATCAGGCATGGATCACGAAGTCAACCCCTGCGCAATCTCCTACATGGACAAGTTGCGATGACCTTCTACTACAGCCCCGCAATCTAGCGGATACTGATCTGGCGTTGTGGCAGAGTGGTCTAATGCGCAAGACTAGAAATCTTGTTCCTTCGGGAGCGTCTGTTCGAATCAGGCCAACGTCGTTTTTTGCTCTCTGCCTAGGTAATAATGAATCATCTCTTTTGTTCATGCCTAACACAACTTTTTATAATGGCGCAACTTCCGCTCCAAGACACTATTACATCTTTCCCCCATCGATGTGACGTTCACTGAATCATGTCTTACGTAAGAATTCAGCTGCCTGCGAAGGATTCAAATCGTCCCCATTTCAGCCATAGGGCTGACATATTAGTAATCCAGCGTCCCCACGGAGGCAACCTCCATTCGGAATGATGCGGCTTGTCAACTCATCATTGCAACTGCTTCAATTGAGTTCTCTCATCGGCGGCACATGGAAAGCGGAGATTTTGCTCGTTACTAGCAGACGGATCTAGCTCTTCGCCCTAGTATCGCAGTCTTGCATCGGCTTCCAACATGGAGGAAACATCCAAGACCAAGCGGGTTCGGCGAAGAAAGGTGAGCGTCTATGAGCCTCCTGAGGCTCGACCCCATGTGAAAGAGACAAAGAGCTCACAACATCATCATTCGACAACAGGCTTGTGATCTTTGTTACCACAAAAAGATCAAATGCGACGCCAAGCAGCCTCGTTGTTCAGGATGCAAGCTGTACAACTCAGAGTGCACCTACACTGGCCCGACGAGGGCTCCAGCTGTCAAGCCGAACCAGTAAAGTGACCTCTGGTAGAATTCATGGGACTCCATGCTGACTATGATCCAGTGTCAAGAAGATCGAGATGCTGGAAGCGCGGCTTGCGCAACTAGAGGCTCAAAAAGGGCAGCCCCAGTCCATGACTCTCCAGCACGTGTCCATGTCTCCCATCGCAGGAGTTGAATTGAGTTCAGCACTGCAGACATTCTCCAGCTCCGATGAAGAGCAGTTTTGGGGGCTAGGAGCTGGGTCGATATCCAATGAATCCCCGAGCTACTCTACCGACCACGACAGCGTTCAAGTACCGGGGAACGACTCCAGGACGCTCCCACCGCTGCGAGCAGTCCTGCCCATCGTGGAAGACTACTTTGAAAAGTCGAACCAAGTTCTTCCACTTTTTGACAAAGAAGTCTTTATGAAGATGCTACGGGGGTGGTACACATACCCTGCATATCGCAAGACAGACGCGTGGGCAGCTGTCAACATCGTCCTGGCTCTAGCTCAGAGGCATTCGTATGCTTCAAGTCCTACAGACACACAACACATGCAACGATACATCAACAACGTGCAATCAGTCATCAACGAGCTAGTCGTCAGCGAACCCAATCTCTTGGCGCTTCAAGTTGTGCTGGGCCTGGTCCTCGTGTTTCACGGCTCATCAGACGTCCGGCCGGCCGCGATGATCATTGCCACTGCGATGCGTCTCGTTCACGGCCTGAGACTTTACACTAAGAATCTTCGACCAGAAGATGAATATGATGCGGCCGAAATACTTCAAAGGAACAGAGTCTTTTGGATCGCATACATCCTGGACCGGGACTGCGCCATGAGAACGAGCTCGCCGGCCATCCACCAGGATGCAGACATCGATGTAGATCTCCCCGAAATGCACCCACCCGACAAGGCAGGAATTATCATTGGTTTCTTGGGGCAAGAATTCAACTACTTCCGGACCCGAGTGCAGCTTGCTTACATCCAAGGCAAGCTTTACTCGATGCTCCTGTCCGTCAGAGCCTTGAAACTCCCGGATCGCGAAAGGACCCAAAACATGATTCGACTGCGAGAGATGCTCGAGAACTGGGAGAAGTCGATCCCGGAGGAGTTTATGGCGCAAAGCGTGGCCGGCATTGTGTCAACGGAGTACATGCGGTACCTCTGTCTACTGCACTACACGCACTTGCAGTTGGTTGCGACAACGCACTATGCGGACTCTCATCATCTTGAGTGGCTGCAGGAGGTTCTGAATTGCAGCAAAAGGCAAGCTCCGCAAGTCCTTCCCGAGGCGTTTGCGGTGCAGCTACCGGATTGCTGGGAGAAGCTGGTTGAGGAGGCGAGGACCTGCATGCATCTCTATGCTGCGACGCCGGAAAATGATTCAGCTCTGACTTGGTAAGTCTTCCACCCCGTGACATGAGAGAAGCGCTGCTGACACACACCCAGGCTGGTGTCTTGTGGATACTTGACAAGCATCATGTTCATCACGGTCAACAACCTAGCAAACCCCGACCATCCGTGTCGACTTACCGACCAGAGCAACGTGGAGTCTGCTCTGCTATTGTTAGAGAGACTCATCAAGGCCACCGATGACTACAGACTAAAGAAGATACACGGCGCTTGTAAGGAGCTGAACGAGAAAGCAAGAAAGGCCCTGACTCCTCCGCCCTCGACCAACTTCTTCGACCCACCAGGCTTAGAGTTTGGAGATGAGGACCCGTTGGACGAAGGACGGTGGGACTTGATGGATAGTTCGTTCTGGGCTACCGGCGACTTTGCTACGGCAAATTGAGGGCCGAATG